ACCGAGAAAAACTTCTTGGGACCGGATGCACTGAGCGGAGCTGGTCCTAAGAGATCGCAAGAGGCTTAAAAACCGGTTTGGTCTCTCTCAGTCGCACTCGGTTGTAAGAGTGTGAACGGGCCTTAACTCTCCAGCCTGGTGCTACCAACAGCAACACGAGCAAGCAAGGTCCGTGCGGGGCTCCCACGTAAAGCTCTAGATTCAAAAGATGCTATTACGTGTATGGCAGATCGAAACATACCGTTTGCGATATGTTACTGTACTCGGTTCGCGGTAAAATTGTTTTCACCTCAAATGAATGTCAGAAAGGCGCCTCACAGCATGACGTTTCACACGCTCACAACGTGCTCGGTGACACCTGGCATGCTTCATCTTTATGGTCAAAACGTTTTCTCGGCCCCTAAACCACTCAATTACACCAATCATTTCGAGGATTGCAGGGAGTTACAGCGGATCTCGAGTGCGAAGACAATGGTGGCGACAGCGCAACCACAGGCGTATATGCACATGTATTGGGCAAGTGGAACCCTACTGAACTCCCTCTTCGCCTCACTTGTTCCAAGCGCCGCGTGCTTTCCCTTCTTCGAAAGTTCCCAAAGGAGTTTCTGTTCCTCGGCCTTTCCATGCCCGGTCTCGTCGGCGACCCTACCGAGCCTCCACAGTTCGTCCTTATAAGGAAAGTCCTTGGAGACGTACGGCGCCATGTAGAGGCTCTCGATACACTCACTGGAAGGCGCCAGTCCCGACGTCGGAACCAGCATGAGAAAAAAAGGATCCAGGAACCTCAAGTAGACGTGCGTTCCTCGCGAAGCCAGTCGAGCACACTTCCCCGTTCCTGGTCGTTCGAGGCAGTCCTCACCGCACGCTTGGAGCTGTTGTCTCAGTGCTCCTGTAAGGCCACCGGGGCTGGACTCAATCACATCAAGGAGCGAGCTTTTTTCAATCGCGCATGGCAGTATGCGGCCTCGTCGCACGGCCGCTTCGAGTTGTTCGATCGTTTCGATGGCGCGCGCGAGGGGTGGTGAGCTTGTTTGCGACACAATCACGGACGTCACGTACGTGCTTAGACCGAGGGAAGCAAAAATCCAAATTACCAGCAAAATCCAAGTCGTGAATGCGGATGTCCTTGGGAACTCAACACCGCTCCTCGCCAGGATACTGGACAGAAGAAAGAACGTTGCTCCCGTGATGTCGGTTAGTTCCCCCAAAAGCCGTCCTTGTGCGTAATAAATTGCCAAGAGGGTGAGAGCACTGAGCAGAACAAGTAACACGAAGTACGCTGATTCCATCAGCTTGTTCTTGAGAGAAAGCGTTTTGGTTGTTTTTTCTGGACTAAAAAAAGTGATGCATTTAGGGGTCGTGATAGATGCAAAATGAATTTCGAGGCTTTTCTCCAAGACCACCGGTGCCGGCGAAATAGTGATATCAGTTTTTCGTTGTCGCAGAAACGTGACCAAATATTCTTTGTCGGGCGGAATCAAAGTCGGTTTGTATAGTGACAGGGTTACATTGTTTAGTGTTAGTGCCTTTATAATAGCTCTGATTGAGGGAATATACTCGACCAACGATGTAATGTCGGGACCGATCTTTGTGAATACGGTACCCGCAATTAGGGATCTGTGCCGTATTGAAGACCAACCCTTTCTCGTTGCGTTCTTAAAAAATATTTTGTAATCCATGAATGTTCGTTTCGTGCAATCGCGGTAAGGGTATAAAGTGACGTCTACTGTCGTTTCGTTGATGAGAATCACGTTACACGAACTTCGTGGGAATTCTTCAAACAGCCGATCATGGTTTTCATGAAAAACAAACACAAACTTGACGAGGGGAAGGTGCGCCACACGTCCGCCGATTGTTTCCATCACGTGCTGCTGGACGTCGTGTGAAGATGACACCAGTAGAACACTGACCCTCACGTTTAGATTCGAGAGCTCTTCGAGAGTTTGGACACGTTCGGGCGTCAAGCTGTCCCAAACTTCAACCAAGACACCCGCTGAGAACTTCAAAGGTGACAGGTAGTCAAACGAGTCGCTTGCCAGCAGAAGCACAACGCGACACTGGCAGCGCACCAGAAAGTCACCGATGCTTGCACCAAGTAGAGGCTGACGTTCAGCCATCGACCCAAGGTAAGTGCACAGAAATACACAAACTGCGCTCACAATTCTCATTGTTAAATAGATTTTCTCTTAAAGGAGTGTGTGACAAGTATTCATCCGTTGAAGAGCGACATTACCAGGGGTACCCCGCGCACTTCAAAGCAGTGTCGTACAATGTCGGGTCTGCAGAGGGTGAAATGTTTATGCGTAACACGAGGACAATCGATCCCCCCACGGCCTAACCTAGTCCTCGGAGCATTAACAAAGCCGTTTCGTCACGAAGTACAAAATTACCATGATCATTTTATCGTCACCGTTATGTTGGAAGCCTAAATGAATACTTGTCAGATTCGTTGAAATATCGACTCACTTCGAACAGCTTTATTTCTTCAAGGGACTAATAACAACATCTCCGGCATTCAGGATCTAGATCTTTTTGATGGTACACGGGAACGCCTATGTTATTGTTGGTATTTTCGCTTTTTAGAGCGCAGCTCTTAGGGGCCCGTTCCCGGCTTGAGCGGCGTCGGCGTCGGCGTCGGCGTTGGCGTCGGCGTCGGCGTATCCAAGGTCACCCCAAGGTCACGCGGCCCCCAAGGTCATCCCAAGGTCACGTGACCCCTTCCCCAGGGTCACGTGACCCCCAAGGTCACGTGACACCCAAAGTCACGTGACCCCCCCCCCCCCCGAGGTCACGTGATCCCCCCGGTCACGTGACCCCCCCCCCCCCCCCCGAGGTCACGTGACCAGCCCCCAGGGTCACGTGACCCCCCGCCGAGGTCACGTGACCTCCCCGATGACGCCATCATCACTGATGACGTCACCAGCATCCGCATCGTCATCGTCATCATCACTGATGACGTCATCAGTGACGTCACTGATGACCTTACCGGCATCCGCATCGTCATCGCCATCATCACTGATGACGTCATCAGTGACGTCACTGATGACCTCACCGGCATCCGCATCGTCATCGTCATTATCACTGATGACGCCATCAGTGACGTCACTGATGAACTCACCGGCATCCGCATCGTCATCGTCATCACCACTGATGACGTCATTTGTGACGTCACTGGTGACGTCACCGGCATCTGTATCGTCATCATCACGGATGACGTCATCAGTGACGTCACTGATGACGTCACCAACATCTGCATCGTCATCGTCATCATCGCTGATGACGTCATCAGAGTCCGCATCGTCATCGTCACTGATGACGTCATCAGTGACGTCACTGATGACATCATCGGCATCGTCACGTGACCCCCCCAGGTCACTTCACCCCCCCAGTACCCTTCCCTCCTCCTCCTCAAGGGCTGCGCTCTAATTCGGTGTTACAGGGAGTTGTAAACGGCTTTCACTTTTTTTATTTTATATTATAAGCTGCAAAAGCAAAAAAACAAAACAATTCGTTTTTGTGCCTTTGGCAATAATGCTTGCTTAAGGACAGTGGTGCGTAGTCAATGTTTTCAGCTGGTTGGTGCTCTTTTTTTTCGCGTACATCGTAAGACACGTTCGTTGTTTTAGGAACTTCTGGTTCAAGGTATTCCGTCGTTCGGAAGGTTTGTTTCAATAATTGAGTGCTTCTCTGAGATGCTATAACAATTAAATACTTATAGAAGCCAGGAGTCTGATATCCAAATCTCAAGACGAGTCACAAGAGGTTTGTCGTGAATAATTGAGGTGACAAGAAATCTTACTGAGCTCCTAGTCACTATGCAGGATGGAAGGAATAAGAAAAGCTCCATCAAAGATGTTTGTCTTGTCTCTCAGGGGCATCCTGGAATGCAGTAAATAGCTAAAATTAATAATGTCGTCCACAGCATTTGTATACAAAACGATTCTAACGCATCGTATTTGAGAGCGGCAGGGTAGTCGTGATTCTATATTTCTGTTGAAGAAGGTTTACTCTGAGTGTTCGTAATATAACCGAATCGAGCACCGCCGATGTCCAGGAAAACTGTGGAAAATCAATTATATCTCTCTTGTATTTCTGTAGGATCCAGACGAACAGTATCTCTCTTTAGGGAGCGATCGTGGCTTGTATAAAAATCTCGGTTACGTTATTTAGCGTTATCACTTTCACAGTGGCTTATCATGTTGAAAAATATTCCTGGGAGAATCGGTTGAGCCTTATGATTCTGACTACACCTGCCACTCATCTTACGACTTCTACTCTAGTTAATGACCAGCCACCCTTTGAAGTGCTGTTGAAAAGGTTCATATATTTGGTTGTTGGCCCCCGAGTGCAGTTCCGATAAAAATGAAAGGTGGCGTCTCCTGTTGTATTAATGTTTGAGTGACATTGCGAAAATTAACAACGCTTCGGTCGCATCGCGCATTTTTTCGCCTGTCCTCCGCATGCTACCACATCTTATGGTCTTTATTCTTCCATGTTTTAACAACGCCTTTGAGAAATTAATTAAAAATCTTGCATTTCCAGTGAAAAAAAGAAAAAAAAAAGATCGAGGTACACCTAAGCATTCCTTACAAGTTGTGAATGGGAAAGCATGCAAGCCGCTCGTCCGCTCCCTTTGTCGTCTGCTGCGTACTTTTCGTCGCCGGTCGGCGCGTGTGCTCCCCTGGTGACCTTGGACGCTCCGCGCTGATGGACACGCAGCGCCATGGGGTGAGCGGCCGTGGAAACTGATGAGCGCAGCGGCCAAAGAGAGCCCCGTTGACGCGCGGCAGCCAATGGAACCTGTCATGTAGTGACAAGGTATATTTGTTGTTATCGCTGTCCGCGCCTATCACCAACGCAAGCCGCGTTCGCTTATCATAACATGCGCAGTGTATATAAACGCTCATACGGAAATAAACTGTTGTTCTGTTCCCACCGCGCTGTCTGAAGGATCTATTACATTGGCGACGAGGCGAATCGGCGGACGGGCGAGTCCCGGTCGAGTAAGGCAAGATGTCGGTCGGCAGGATCGGCGAATATCGTCTCGGCACGAATGCGTCCTGGGATGAATACGTCGAACGGCTAGAGATGTTCTGCGCTGCAAACAAGATAACCACGGACGAGCAAAAACGAGCGGTTCTGCTGAGTTGTTGCGGCGAGGACACTTACGGGCTGATCGTGACCTTGGTCAAGCCAGCAAGACCGACGGCGGCGAGCTACGACGACATCAAGGGGGCGGTGCGGAAGCACATGCATCCAAGGCCTTCGGAGCTGTACGCAAGATTCTTATTCTACCGAAGAAACCAAGCTCAGGGTGAGGCGGCGTCGGAGTATGTTACGGCACTCCGTAAGCTGGCTGAAGACTGCGGTTTCGGTGACAAACAGCTTCCACTGGACGTCATGATGAGGGACCGGTTCGTATGCGGAATCAAGAATGAAGCGGTTCAACAGCGGCTGCTCGCAGAACGCGACCTGACGTTCGAGGTGGCGTACGACATGACGCTGACGGCGGAGGCAACGGAGAAGCAGCAGCGCGATATACGCAAGCAAGCTCAAGACGGAACCAAAGAAAGCGAGGGTCTGGTTCAAGCGACACGCATGAAACTGGACACCAAGGCGGACGACGTCAGCTGCTTCCGCTGCAACGGTAAGCACGCTCCGCATGTATGCCGTTTTAGAAAGGCTGCTTGTTTCAAATGCAAAAAGGTTGGACACGTGGCAAAAGCTTGTCGTTCAAAAGACGAGAATCGGACGCCGCGGAAGCCAACTGACCTGCGCAAGCGGGAGGAAAAAAACAAGGGCGTCTATGAAATGAGCGCATTGTTTTCTGTATGCGAAGTGCGTGAACAGGCTGAAAGGTTCATGGTAGAAGTGCACATTCAAGGAGAGAAAGTTCCGATGGAAGTCGATTCAGGAGCATCTTGCTCGATTGTGAGTGAAGAGACGTTTCGGTTGATCGAGAAGAATCGAGGCCAGATACCGCTGCAAGAAGCCGGCACAAAGCTTGTAACCTGGTCGAATGAATCATTGTCCGTGGTGGGTCGGGCAAACGTGGAAGTGAAATTCAAAGGCTGTAGAGCAGAGCTACCTTTGTTAGTAATAAAGAAGCGTGGTAACAGTTTACTCGGACGTAGCTGGTTTGAGTCGCTGGGCATCCGTTTGAGTGGAATTCAGCAGATCAAGGTGGAGGACGTGACATCGCGTTTTGCTGAGGTTTTCGGCAGTGACCTGCCTGGATTCAACGGACCGCCAGTTCACATAGAGCTTCAAGAGGACGCCCGCCCGGTGTTTCTCAAGAGTCGTCCTGTCCCGCTGGCCCTCAAGGACGACGTGGCCAAGGAAGTGGATCGCCTGGTGCAACAAGGCGTCTGGGAGCCGGTTGAGTACTCAAACTGGGCGACACCGCTGGTAGTGGTGAGGAAAAAAAAGGGAACCTTGCGTTTATGTGGGGATTACCGTAGTACCGTAAACAAGGCTATTAAAAGCAGCGGGTATCCTTTGCCCACGACCGCGGAAATGCTAGCGACCTTGGGGTCGAGTAAAATTTTTACCAAGCTCGACTTAACTCAGGCGTATCAACAGCTCAGCCTAGATGATGAATCAGCAGAAATGCTGACCGTCAACACGATTAAAGGGCTATGCAAGGTCCGGCGGCTGCCGTTTGGAATCTCGGTGGCTCCGTGGGTGTTTCAGCGAGTCATCGACACGTTATTGGCAGGGATTCCGGGGGTGAAGGCTTATCTCGATGATATCTTGATATCGGGAAGCAACGCAGACGAACACTCGGAAAGGCTTGCAGCCGTGCTGGCGCGTCTGCAAAGAGCGCAGCTAAGAGTAAACAAAGAAAAGTGTGAATTCAGTCAAGCAAGCATTGAATTCCTGGGACATAGAATCGATGCCGCAGGTATCCACCCGAGCAAGACCAAGACGGACGCCATTCAGCAAGCGCCACCGCCGACAAGCAGGAAGCAGCTTCAAGCTTTCTTGGGGTTGTTAAATTTCTACGCCAGTTTCCTCAAGGGGAAGACAGAAGTGGCGGAACCCCTTCATCGGCTTTTGGACCACGAGCAAGAATGGAAATGGACAGGTGAGCACCAGCGGGCGTTTGAAAAGCTGAAGAAGTTGCTTAGCTCGGATGCAGTACTTGTTCCCTATGACCCCAAGCGGCCGTTGGTTTTGTGCTGCGACGCGTCGCCTGTCGGGGTAGGGGCCGTGCTGGCGCATAGGGCTGATGACGGGAAAGAGCAACCTATAGCATACGCCTCACGAACTCTCGGTGCTAGTGAACGCAACTATGCCCAGATTGACAAAGAAGGTTTAGCAGTCGTCTTTGGAGTGAAAAGATTTCACCAGTACCTGGCCGGAAGAGACTTTACCGTAGTAACGGATCATAAGCCGCTGTTGGGGTTGTTCAACACAGAGAAGCGGGTGCCAGAAGTGCTGTCGCCCAGGATGCTTCGCTGGATTTTGTTGTTAGGGGCGTATAATTATCGCATTCAGTACAGGCGGGGCGAAGACAACTCCAACGCTGATGCGCTTAGTCGTCTGCCAATCGTGGGAGACGAAGACGAGCCACAGCCACCGGGGGACGTGCTCCTGCTTGAAGCTGTCGAGTATGCTCCACTCCAGGCGGCAGACATCGCAAGGATGACCAAGGAAGACTGCATCTTATCCAAGGTCAAGGATTGGATCCTCAGTGGCTGGCCGTCGAGGCAACCGGACAATACGTTCGCGCCTTACGAGGTAAGGAAGTCCGAGTTGTCGTTGCATCGTGATTGCATACTGTGGGGAAACCGTGTGGTCATCCCGCAAGTGGCAAGAGAGAGGGTACTTCAGTTGCTACATGCAAACCACCCGGGAATGAGTGCCATGAAAGCTTCAGCAAGAGGGCTTATGTGGTGGCCAAAGATGGACAGCCAGATTGAAGAATTTGTGCGGTACTGTCAGCCGTGTCAAAGTAACCGCCAAAGCGACCCCAAGGCTCCAGTGCATTTCTGGGTCAAGCCAGATCAACCATGGAGTCGTCTACACATAGACTTCGCGGGGCCAGTCAAGGGAGAAGTGTTTCTAATTGTAGTTGATGCGTACAGCAACTGGGCAGAGGTAGAAATCATGCCATCAATGAAATCTTCAGCTGTCGTCACCAGCTTAAGGAAAATGTTTGCGACTCACGGGGTGCCAGACGTAATCGTCTCTGATAATGGCACAGCGTTCATTGGTGCTGAATTGCAAACGTTCTTGAAATTGAACGGTGTTCGTACAGTGTTCGCAGCACCTTATCATCCCGCCAGTAATGGCAGGGCCGAACGGATGGTAAGAGAAGTCAAGGAAGCTTTGAAGAAACAACAGGAAGGCACAACTCAGTGCAAGATTGCGCGGTTCTTGTTTAAACAACACACCATGCAGCATTCTGTCACGGGAAAGTCGCCGGCAGAATTGATGATGGGGCGGAGGTTGAGGACAGCCTTGGACAGACTTCACCCAGATCGTCAGCGTGAACCTGAGGTTCAGGCGTCACCAACAAAGTGTTTTGGTGTGGGTGACGCAGTCTACGCAAAGAATTTCAATCCAGGACCCCGGTGGAAAGCAGCTACCGTGGTGGAAGTGCGAGGCCCGGTGTCGTACACGGTCCAACTGGACAACGGGGAGCGCCATCACAGACACCGGAACCAGCTGAGACGAGCCTGGACGGCGCCTCAAGGGGATGCCAGCACAAGGGTGGACTATCACTTCAGGCTCCCACCTACAGCGGGAACGTCCCAGCGGCCGGAGGCGAGCACTGAGTCAGCAACGCAAGCTCCGGCTCCACCACGAAGATCAACACGCAATCGACATCCTGTTGTACGCTATGGCATTAATGATTAACCAAGCGTTCTTTATTGTTTTGTGCATCTAATCGTAGGAGAAAGGAGTGTCATGTAGTGACAAGGTATATTTGTTGTTATCGCTGTCCGCGCCTATCACCAACGCAAGCCGCGTTCGCTTATCATAACATGCGCAGTGTATATAAACGCTCATACGGAAATAAACTGTTGTTCTGTTCCCACCGCGCTGTCTGAAGGATCTATTACAGAACCGAAGGAAACTATCTGCCGTTTTCGCGCTTCAGACTGATGACGTGAGCTCGCTCCACGAGACAGTTAGTGATTTTGCATTAATAAATCTAATCTAGCGATATGCCATCGAGACATGATTGCCATCTTGTTGCTTCCCGTGGGCTGTGAAAGTGTTGCTAATGAAGAATTCAATAGGCCCCTCGCATTTTGTTTTCGTGACACTGTGCAGACTCATTGGACGAGAACACAAATTTCAGACTCTCATTGCTCACGGCAGTTGTAGTGAAATGCGCTATTTGTTACTGAGTTCAGAAATTAAGGCTTTACATTTGCTCAAGCGTAACGCGATACTTCTGTCAGTAATATTTTCTTGGTTTCACCTAGAGCGCAGATTCGGAACGCGCGTAAGCCTCAAATGATGAAGGTCAGCGAAGAAGGAAAACGGTGTGGGGAGAAATCCAAAAGCATTCATATAAAAAAGAAATATTGTGACTTTAACGTCTTCAATTTTTTTTTTACATATTTGCAATTAATGAGCCAGTCAAAGCTTTTGTATATATGCTGGACCTTTCATTTCCGTTATCCTGAAATCGATATTTAAATGAAGGCCTGTTTGAATTCGGAGGAAGCTATTATGATCACACAAAACAACTCTCAGTTGGTGGGTTTGAAAATGAACCAAGATGCTTAGTGTTTAACGAAGTTGAGGACAATTTTCTTTTGTCATTCCCGACAGAAACCAACTAAACACAAGCCTCTAATGGGAGGACCTCAACTGTCTTGGTTGGTCCATCACCAAATAGCTCGGTAGACTCTGGAGGTAGCACTCTCGCACCATTAAATCGCAAGACGATGTCACTGAAAGCTTACCGTAACTAGTGTGCATTGAGGAATATCCAGTATCCTCACAACAACACAAATTTTGAGAGAACCTTCGAGCTTGATGACAAGACTGTGCTGGGGTAGACGTCTTATCACTGGGAGCGAGAAAAGACGATATAGCTAGAGCAAGACTTACTGAATTCTGATATAATTTCTCCTTTCATTTTTCTTTCGGCACCACCTATCACTCTTACCGCTCATTCACACTAGAAGCGGATCCGCGTTCGCAAAGCGGTTGCAAACGCGGTTGTATAAAGATCCAGTACAATTGCACGCGCACTCGATGACATCAGTGCGCGTGCAATTGCACTGGATCTTTATACAACCGCGTTCGCAACCGCTTTGCGAACGCGGATCCGCTTCCAGTGTGAATGAGCGGTTAGTCCGAAGGAAGCGGGCATCCATCTTTGCACTGGCCCTCAAGCAGTAAACCACCACACATTGCCCGTTTCATATCCAATGCCTCACATCGACTCTATCATTACAGTGTTTTAGTAGATCGTTCCCATACCCCCGATAACGATTCCCGATAAAATACGAGTCATGCCAAAAGGCAGCGGCGGTGTCGGAGTCACCGGAACGATATACTAAAACTTTCTATTGACAAAACCGGAAGCCCCAAGTATTTTTCGAAGATTGGCTTGTAGAAAGTGTTCTGGCAGGTTCTGTACATTTACAAGAAGACACCAGAAGGTTCGCGGTGTTTATAGCGCCTTTTCACATTTATATCTACAGCCACTTACCATTTAGGTTAAAAACTGCCCCCAGCTGGTTTCATATGATGATGAACACGGCCTTTCACCCTTACCCTGAAGATTTTGGAACGTTTCGAATAGTCACAGATGCTACTTGGCATCAGTGACTATTCAAAGACAGAGAACGACCGTGTGAAGCACCTAGTCCAAATCCAAATGTTGTCCGCCCTTCGTGCTGGGAAGCTAAAAGTAAACATCAAGTAAAGTGAGTTCTTTTTTTTTTTTTTTTGAGAAAATAGGATTGGACGGTGCAACCGAAAATTCTAGCTAAAAGTTAGTTTACTGCATTTCCAAACTTAGCTTAAAGTCCCCGATGTGCATTCGTCTCGCGTGATTCTCGGTCTGGAGGAGCTTTTCAGGGAATATGTTTAAAACAATGCTACGAAAAGTGGTTCTTAAAAAATCACGTAAGACGTGATTGTCCGGACATTTTCCGGTTCTCTCCTTCCTTTTATATTATTCCTCTTTCTCGGGTTCACTATGGATATCCGGATCGTCTCGTCCGATCTTCTTTTACGCTTGCCATCAATGGAACTTACCAAAGGCATTACACACTGCGCTGCAGGGGTTGTGCTTTACCAAGGTTGCACTAAGGACAACTTTCTAACATCTTCATGTCGTATTCTAGCTTTACGCTCTCAAAGATCAAAGTAAGCCATACCACCATTAAAAAAACGCCCTGGCAGTCTTTGAGGCTGTACGGTATATTCGCACCTACATAGAAAAACTGAAATCAATTATTTTATTACCCTTCAAGCACATTATTTTTCTATTCAAAACCACTGAACCAAACGAAAGGTGGTCGCTTCACAAACCAGTTGCAAATATTTGACTTCAAAAGAAGTCACCGTCCTGGTTTTTTCTAATAAATCGCTGATGCGATGCCATGACCTTTAGCACTGAGGTCTGTCAAACCATCCGCGCATGTGAACACCTCAAAACACCGGGAGGAAACACTGCGCTTCTAAATAGAGCGAAGTGGAAAGCTTCACGTTCCGTTTACAGTGGTGCCACAATTTCTAGAACTGTACAGCACAAGCTAAGATTTAAGAGAAGATCTCGTCAGAGGGCTTTTTTGCCTTATTTTGCTGCAGCGGCCAGACATCTGTATGACACATGTATGTCTGAAATAAACTATTCTATTCTATTCTCTAATCTGGTGCCGTTCTGTTATGAAGTCCCTCTGCGCAGTCTCTATCTGTTCTCCTGCGCCGTATTCTGTGATACCCGTAGGGCTACGTCGCGGTGGCGTGAAGTTGTGCAATCGCGAGGCGGTATGGCAGCCTGACTAGAGGGCAGTATCCGCGGCACGAAGATAAGCCATGGGCCTATTATTCAACGTTGTGTAACCTGAATATTGCGCGGAACTGATGCAAGCGTGCGGTAACTTCCGCCGACGACGTGGCACCTGAGTCGGGTATCGTACTCCAAGGCCCTCAGGAGCCGTTCGAGTTGAGCGGAGAAATGTTCTCTCGGGAGCCGCGGTGTGTCGTTGCGTGCGTGACCACAAAACCTTACATAAAATTTATCAGAACGACAGCAAAAAACGCTTGAAGACTGCGGATTTCTAGACCCTCGAAGGTAGAGGACCGAGGTGCTGGAATAGGACACCGAATCTGGCATCAATTGTCTGTTATTAAAATTAATGTTTTATTGAGTTCTTTAAGCGGACATTAGTAAGCATTGGGTGTAGTAACCCCCCCCCCCCCTCCCCCCAAGTAGTCACGTTGCAACGTGCAAATAACGTTTAAAAACGCTCCTTCAGAAACATTATCAATGAGTTTCGATTTTAGCCCCTAATGTATACCTATAGAGCACATTATAAACTCAGTTGAAACTCATTGATAATTTTTGTAAGGACATGCCAAATTGCGCTTTCACTTTAGGGCAGGGGTCGGCAAATTACGGCTCGCGCAGTAGTTTTATGCGGCCCCCGGCATAACCCAAGAAAATGATCCTCCCCTCTCCCCCAGCAGCTTCCTCACAGACCCAAGGACATGTCAAATTGGAAGTTAGGACCACAGATGGTGTTTGTTAGACAGTAACAAGGAGCGCTTCCAATTGGCACGGTCCGGCATTCTCATTCTTGAGCAGGGAACCTCTTCACTTCCTTTTTGCCTTTTTCCTTTTTTTTTGGCTTCCCCATCCCTCCCCTTGCCGTCCGGCCCAATCCGTGTCGGCTTCAGGAGGACTCGGCCAGCCGCTGCAAAACGTTGCTGACCCCTGCTTTATGGCATCTGATATTGAGATATTAACTCAGCCATTTGTAATCCTTTCCATCAATTGCTTGTTATAATTTTGAGACTCTTAAAAATTTCGAAGTTATAGTAGCCGCATTTGTGATTGTGTTTACATAATTTAACAGAGATTTCTTTGCATAAGAACAAAAGCGTTTACCAAAGCTTCATTCAAAGATTCATTTAAATTCGAGTGACTTCATAACGAGTTACCACATTGACACGCAGATCTGAACTTAACCGAAGAGACTAAACCTAGTAGTTCTATGGCGTCCTCTCCAGGGTGAATATAGGTTTCGAAATCGCGATAAACGTTCCTCCCAGCTATAGAAGTTGAATAACGATCGCGTTTATTATTATTTTAGTTTTATAACGTCAGCTCTTAGTCACCCGTTCCCCCGTTTTTCGACGGCGTGAGCATTTAAACGAAAAGTTCCCCCGCTAAATTTAGCGTAAACATTTAATTTCGCTTCACCTATGCACCAATTCAGTTTCCCGGCTATATTTAGCTGAAAATTTGACCACCACGTGACCTATTCAACAATTCGCTTTCCCCGCTAAATTTAGCGGAAAAATTGGCGCTACGTGACCCATGCACCAATCCAGTTTTTCCGCAAAATTTGGCGGGAAAATTAGTGTCACGTTACCTGACGTCACGGGACCGACGGACGAATTCCTTTACCGCTAAATTTAGCGGAAAAATAGACGTCGCACTACTTCCGTTTCCCCGCAAAATTTGGAGGGAAAACCCATCACGACTTTAAAATAATTTAATCATCAACAGCGTATCGACGCTAAATCGGCGTCATTTCAATATCAGATCAGCGTATGACGCACGATCGGCGCCTATGCCAAACGATCGTTATCGTCATGTCGTCAAATAAGCTGCAAAGCTGACGCTGTCTAAACTCATCATGTCGTGCGAACGTCGCACAATTTTTTAACCTAACGACTGTAGTTGATATTGATGTTCCGGGAGCTTAGGAACGTCACTTTTGACAACATTTTTAATGTCGTGAACAAGTAAACAACAAAAGTGGTAAGTGGTTTGTAATAATTTTCGAATTTCCGCACCGCAGCCAAAAAACAACGAAAAACTTTTCTAATCGACGAAAGCTGTTATTCAAATGCATGATCATCGCGAGTTGATATTGTATCTTTGCTCAAATGATTTTTCAAATTTTTTTTTTCTTTTTTTTTTGTACCAGTTTCACTTTTTGAAATAAGCTAAACACAACAGCAAGAAAAAGTTCGCAGAATGCTCCGTAATTCTCCTTTCAAATGCTCACTGGAGTGCTAGTTGACAGATTTTATTCGTGAAAGTGGCGTTTCTTAATTGCCTGGCTGGCTGTAATAACGCAGAAATACAGTAAAACGTTGTAAACAAACACTCACCTTTGAGCTTGATGAAAGGATTTCAAGTCAATCGCACGCACATACAAAAAAGTATTGGCGAAGAAATATATTGCAATGAGAGAAAAAGTAAACAGATAGCTTAAACATGTCAGTAACAACTATAATTTGTGTAAGTTATACGTCATTGTGTCGGGCATCCTAAATATGAAACAATATTTGTTGTTCTGCAGAAGATGGAAAAGAAAGGGTACAGGCATGAGCAACTTCAAAACAACCAAAGCAGAAAAAAATTAAGAACTCTATTTATTTTTTGAACCATGGTTTTACCTAAATTTAATATTTCAAGGCTAATTAGCAGTGTACTTAAATCAAAAAGTAGAACACGTAGAGCGCCGAAACGCAGATCTGTTATACTGAAGTTTTATGGTTTAATACATAATTTAGATCACATATCTTGCTCAAGGTTTCTAAAATATATAGCTACGTAAGAACATAATGAAATAAATATATTTCCACGAATTTTTGGATTTGTGTAACATGGCAAGCTAATTGTAATATATCTCTATTTTATTTAAAAAAAAGAAAAAAAAGAAACATCAGCATATAAGTGATACAAAAGTTTTTCAGAGCAAAAATTACACAAATAAAAAATATACAGCGGCTATGCGGACATAACGCGGTTCAATAAAGTAATGCACAAATGGGATGTCTAGCAAGCAAAGGGGGCTATTAGGAGCCCATAAAGAAACAGAGGTTGACGTTACTTCTACCCTGGAAATCTAGAGCACTTCTGTTCAAAGAGCAATGTCAACATTAATAAAAAAAAATTTTTTCCTCTTCTCTTTGCACTTTCATGTATCCTCCACCCATTTCACGCAATGTTTTCGCTTATGAAAAACACCAGATTTCCTTGTTCGCTTAAAAACCGCAATGCGCAAATATTACAGAAAAATACAACTGACGTTTTAACCTTTAAATACGTCGAGACATAGTCTCTGTGTGCACGCCACTGGCATTTCACTCGCCGGTTCAAGCTATCCGTTTGGCATAAAACTAAGCCCTTCAAACCCTGACTTGCAAGTGTGAGCACTTCAGAGAGTGCACTAAAAACTGAAGAAAAAGGGTAAATATTTGAGCGGTGAAATCTTTATGTACATTAGGACAAATCAATACATTTTGCCGGTTCATTAAACACTTCTTTTTCTTTATCAGGAAACAAAAGAAGGTACAGTTCAACTTAGAAATATTGTTTATTTTCAAATCATTCCCAGTTTTTATTCAAGTAAAAAAAAAAATGGTGCTTACTTTCAGCGTTTGATGTCTAACATTTTTTTTTAACACATGAAGTAAGTTACCGGACAAATAATCCAATCATGCTACGTAGTGCAATGTAAGCTTCAACAACAAAAGGTCACCCAAAAAGAGAGAATGTAAATTCATGTTTCAGGCACAACAAACCCGAAGCAAACATGTATTGTTTTTTGTTGTTGTGTACAGCTCCAAATTATGAGAGAGTACAATTGCGTCTTCAGCATTTTCCAACCTCAAACAGGTGTGAGTCTCCCACTCTCACGGGTCACGGCGCTTTACCACACCGGCTGTTTTGGGACCACGGCCTCGTACAAGGAACGCTGAGGGTAACACCGACGTCTGGTCCTTCCACCTTGTAGCTCGGTACACGGGTTACGAAGATCTTGAGGATGGTTACGACTTGAGACCACTCCAAGTAGCTCTTGATCCCGAGGCAGGGGACAAAACATATGCAAAGAATGCAACAGGAGCGGGTACGACCAGTCTTTGGAAAACCCTCCACGCACACGGAAGAAACCAACAAAATATACGCAGGCACGGAGCCAGGCCCGCTGCGCAATTGAGCACCTAGAGTCTGATCGCAGAGTGCTTGAAGGTGGAGTAGGATGAAAATGAGTCCTGGCACAGCCTGTGCCGGGCGAAGCATCCTATTGGCCAATCAGGAACATCAGGATGAGTGCGAGCACAGTTGTTAGAGTTGACGAGCTTAGTCCTGAAACAGAGCATTGAAGAGGGGTGAGGTTCTGCTATTACGGCTTACCACTAAACCCGTAAAATTGAATCATAAAGACACACCAGTCAGAGGAGAGGCGGTACACATTGTGAAACACCTTTCCTGGAGGTAGTGTCTAAAGAAAGGTATAGCCAACTGTTCATTTATATATCCATAATATTAGAAAAAGACGCTAGTCGTGTCTAGTGCATTAAGTATCATTATATGTTCTGCCCTCTTAAATCAAAGCATCAACCTTTCAATACTTTGGAAGCGTGTCATGTGGTACTTCAGTGAAAATAAAGGTATTTCCCTGCTTTCTGCCACGAAGTGGAACGCAGACCTCGTCCTGCCTTTTCAATAACTTTTATTTTTTGTGTACGTGTCCGCCCAGTACTTCCTATGCTGAAAATAAATTTGTACTGCGTTGTTTTAGACTGGATTGACGCCGGTGTGTGTTTCTTCTTTTGTACAAGGAGGACGTTTCAACACAATCGCCGCAAACGTTACATTATATTTACTTTCTATTACACACATGAAATGCGAAACGAAGAATATACTGTTCACTGGCACCTCCAGAATGTACGTTTCGATCTATCTTGAACTCCTGATGGAGCGCCAACAGCTGCCTGGACTTTCCATTAAATCAAGGCTCTTATTAAAAAAATCCTACAAGGACCGAGATGATATTATAAGAGCCGTCGCCTGCTGTTCTTCGCCATGGGCGTACCAACCGGGGGGGGGGGGGGGGGTGCAAGGCAGTTGCCCCCTCCCAGTTCTTAGAGCGGGGGGCAAGCCATGTGTTTTGCCCCCCCCCCCCCTGAAACAGCCCGCCCCCCGGCGCTGGGGGGGGGGGGGGAGGGGGTGGAGACTCTGAGTCTGGTTTGCCCCCCCCCCCCCCCCCCACACACACACACACTCAAAAACAAGTTGGTACGCCGCTGTTCTTCGCTCTGGTTTCCCGTAGTAGCGGTGCGTGGGCTGTGATGTGTGTGTGTGTAGTTAAAACGATGGACACCGTTCCCTCCACGAATGATATAGATGGAGTTCCTTCCACGAGTGGTATGGATGTGGTTCTTTCCACGAATGATATTGATGACCGTATCTAAGGTCGTTGACGTACTCTGCATGGCAGAGTACAAAAAAAGGGTGAACAAAATTACAGGAAGATCTATTGGTGGATTCTTAGGGAATCCATTAGCATGACACTTGGAAAATGCCACACGTGTCCCTTTTTGGGAAATGCTAACACTGACCCCGTAAAGCGCGATCCAAACCAACGCTTCTTTTTGCGCCTGTAGGTCGTGCGGCTGCGGATGTGACGTATTTTCGTGACGTCGCGCCGCTTCTTCGCTATTTCAGGGCGCGCACAAGAAAGTTGGATAATTTCAACTTCTCAACGCGCACAAAAACGCGCGGTGACGTAGAAGGGCGCTCCTCTGTCCCGGCCAATCGGTGGAGGGCAAGCTAGTTCCGGCTCCGCGTTTCTCGCCGTCTGGCTGCCCTCTCCTCCCCCCCCCCCCTTTTATTCTCTTCCAGCATGACAACGCGACCTTTCTCTCTCTCTCTTTCTCTCGCCGTCTGGCCGGCCAGTCTGTCGCAGTTGCACCTTGCTTGTGCGCTCGTGCCTGCGTGCGCGCGTGCGCGCTCGCCCGCAGTTTCGCCCGTCCAAACCAAAGCGCACGGTTCTGACTCAGAAAGCGCGCCCGGAAACAGCAAAAACGCCACGAAATGCGTCACATCCGCAGCCGCACGACCTACAGGCGCAAAAAGAAGCGTTGGTTTGGATCGCGCTTTACGAGGCCAGAAAGAGGCTTCAAAACATCTTCCCGAGGGGAGCCATGGGGTGATGCGGAGTATCGCGGATCGTTATTAACGGTGTTATTAACGATGTTAGTAACGTTGTTGAACTTCACGGTCCCGAACCTCAGGTTCTGCTGCTCGACGTGCACGAACCAACGCGGCTTCCCGTTCTCGAAGGTCGGGTTCCGCCGCTCGCTTCTTACGTTTACGTTGAACTTCACGGTCCCGAACCTCAGGTTCTGCTGCTCGACGTTCTCGAACCGCCGCTGCTTCACGTGGTCGTAGTTCAGCATCTGCCGCCCGACGTTGACGAATGGACGCCGCTTCTCGTTGCCGTAGTTCAGGGTCTGCCGCTCGCTTCAAGCGTTTGCGCTCAGCGTCGCGTGCCCTTCGCTGCGCAGCTTTGTCTTCAGTGCACGTAGCGTTGCTGTTAGTTTGTGGGGTGGTGCTGACGCTTGCTTGCGCCAACCCACTAACTGACGGGACTGTTGCTTCCATCACACTTCATCGGAAAAACGGAGTGAAGTGGAGTCAACAGCGGTGAACTGAACGCGCGCAGCGCGCTACCGCTGCTTATAGACCGTTCCATTAGGGTCATAGCAGAGAGGGTAAGAGAGAAAAAAATGCACTCCCCCTCTCCTCCGCAAGCCGTCCACTCCGCCGAGTGGGCTGTAGCGTGCGGCTGGCGTGCAAACTCTGTTTAAAATCGCGTCATTTTGGAACTTTCAAGCGCAGATGCGCAGATTTTGGTATGCCAGTTATCGTGTAATACTATGCTAGATAAAAAGACTCGCAGGGTCCAAATGCACTGTTACCTGCGTGCAAATAAAAAACAAAAATAGGGAAAACTGTGTCAGATTGGCCGGTCTCTTTGGCGAAAAGAAAATCCGGTTGCCGTACCTTTTTTACTATACAAAAGTTCGTACTGGTGTAGGCCTTTAGCGACCGTGAGTGGAAGTCTGAAGTAATAAATAAAAACGTGCTCTCCTGCCGCAATACACGCAGTAGTTGAGGGTAGTACTGCCGGCTGACTCAACAGCTATTTAAGTAACGGAAAAAAGATATGCTAGTTTATCATTTAGCAAAATAGAACAACAGAGAGCTATAGGCTGATTTTGGAGTAGCCACAACTATCCTAAGAACGCGAACCACTTCACAACGGCAGCCACGAGCGAGAGTTCGGTGTTCGGTAGAGCCCGCCGATACAGCCCAAAGATGGAGAACGGCAACCTCCCGGTTCGTCGTCTGCTAGCGGAGTCGGCGGCGTGCCCTCTCTCTCGTTTTACACCGCCGAACCCGCTGAACTTCCCGGATGTGTGGAGAGGGCGCTGCGGTCGAACAAAATGGTGCCGGCCAGGGAGTGCTAAATGGAATGGTCTATATCCACACTTGAAGGAGAGGTGACTAGAAGAGGAGAGTTGCGCATGCGCGCGCGGTGTGAGTAGAAGCGAACGCACGCGAAGTGCACGCAGCTGGTAGAGAGAGAGAGCGGAGAGAGTAAACGCGCAGCTGTTGGAGAGAGGGAAGGAGGAGAGTTGCGCATGCGTAGTGTGAGTGCGGACTACGACGCCGCGGGACATAGACCCGAGCAAGAGATGCTCCGCATCTAAAATAGAAGAACACAAGTGAGAGCCAAAACAGAATGCCAAAAGGAGAAAAGTGGAGGGGTCAGCGTTAGCGTTTCCCAAAGGGGAGTGTGTAATGTGTGTGGCGTTTCCAAGGGTCATGCTAACGCATCCCCTAAAAATCCACCAATGGATCTTCCGGTATTTTTTTTTTTTCATAGCGTTCGAATACGACATAACCGAAACGCGGCCTAAAATCGTTATATTTTCTTAGCCAGGAGCGCTGTTCAAAACTTGAGAGCTTAGTCCATACCCACATCTGTGCAGAGGCTATTCGCATTTTATCTCGTACTCCTAACAGTGCCATCAAAACACAGCCTTTTTCTCTTCGCATCTATTTTACAGCATTAATTCACGCAAATGTGAGATAAAAAAAACGTCAAGCAACATGCCGATAATTCAAAACTTACCCTCTTGCTTATTCTGTACAGCCGAGACTTGCCGGACCGTGAATGGATCTAAGGCGGAAAGGTGGAAAAGCAAAGGGGACATTTTAAAGCACTTGGCATTTCTTGAGCGTAGAAAACATTTTTCTACAGACAGGGCCTATTTTTTTTTTCTCACTGACATGATGACACCGCTTTTTGCCTGAGACATTGAAAGATATAACAACCATATTGGGAGCGTGCGACACCTATAGAGGGCGCGCCGCTCCACCTTGGCAGCTGGTTGGCAGCGCCACTAGTGGCAGTGTTCACGTTACGCCGCATAATAAAGCGACGCCCACTTTGTCTTATGTGGAGCGCAAGTTCGTCTGCTACTTTTGCTAAGGTTGTGTTGACGTTCGAACGCAAAGCTCTGATTGGCTTTGATTGAAGGATAGTGGGTAGAGTTCAAGGCAGCTTGCTTTGAGGTCTACCCACTATCCTTCCAATCAAGCCAATCAGAGCTCGGCGCTCTGACGTCATCACAACCTCTGCAAAAAAAAGCAGACGAGCAAGCAGCGAAGACGCCCTCAGCGTCTTCGCTGCTTGCTCGCGTTCCCGCCTCTGTGTTTCTCGATCTCGTTCCGGAGTAAAGGCTTGGCAGCTCGACATTCGAAACCTACTCACGTCCAGCTTTGCTCTGGATGTGTTTTCCGTCGTTCGACCCGCAGTAGTTGCTCGGAGTTTGGGTTTAGTCCTGTTTTCTGCTTTTGGGAGCGGCAAAGGGGGCAACATACCGCCATGTTTTTTTTTTCGCTTATTTGTGCCAGAAGGTGCCCCCACGAAGCGTTTGCGTGTTCGACGGTTTTGATATCACTACGGGACGACCATTCACCGGTACCAAAAATGAATAAATGCTGCACGAGAAGTACTTTTCGTTCCTCTTATAATCGGATTGCCATTCACTCGCTTGAGCTTCGAGGTGACGTACCGGGATTGAGAAGATTGCGGCGCTTTTTGCCAGCGCAGGAACGTGATCCGTGTTCTCAACTTCCCAAATACGTTAAAAAAAAAAGAAAAAGACAAAAAAAAAAAAAAACGCTGATTGTGGTCCTGAACGTTTTGTATAGCGCTATGTTCAGGGAAGCCGACATTAATTATAAACTATGGTTGGCTGCTTCCAGGCGGTGGCAATTAGTTCATCGACGTTATCGACACATCGTTTCATCGACATATCGTTTCATCAACAGATTGTTTCATCGACAAATCGTTTCATCGACACCTGAGATTAGCTGTTTTCAGTAATAAGCAACATCAGAATATCGCCGCGAAGCGGAGTCTGCGGCTGGGTCAGGTTGGTTAACATTTTTTTGTAATGAGCTGCCGCAAACAAGTATTTTTAATACTTCCAAAAAGTAATGAGATCAACCTTGTCACTTCATCCTAAGCAACGTATTAAAATTATTACAACGTTACTCCAATAAGTATTTAATTGCAAGTAATTTGATTACTTGTCATGTACACCGTACAAGCCTGCTCGTGCGTCATTAACTCTTATAACATTCATTTTTTTCTTTTCACTTTTTTAGAACTTTCAAAAATATGTATGCGTCTAGAAAGTGAGAGAGAGGAGGAGACGGAGAGCGCGGAGGAGCCGTCAAAACGCTGAGCTCTGATTGGAACGATTAGTGGGTACATCTAAGGCTATTGCTGACTTTGTCTCCAGTGCACTCGTCGAACGTGTTCGAATGCAAAAAACAAAACGCCGGACGCCAGCGTTTCAAATCCTAGCGCGTTCAACGAATGCAGTGGAGACAAAGGCAGCTAGCTTTAGGCCGACCCACTAATTTTTCCAATCAGGGCTCGCCGTTCAGACGTCGCCGCCTACCTCGTTGGTCTCCGCACGCCCTCGTTTCCTCTTCTCTCACACTTTTTGGGCGTACAGTTGAGGGTGATATGAAAAAGCCCAGTTGAGCGTGTGGCTTTGTAGACCTTCACGGCATATACAGAGTGTTTTTGTTTGTTACAGCATTACGTGTTTGTTAAAAAAAAAAAGACGTGAAAGCTACATTTACGCGGTTTGTGCAGGTGAGGTATACGGCCAGGGGGACATAGTTGAGGTATCATTCATGTAGCTGGAGCGAGGCTACCGGTTGCGGTAGGGCGCCCGCGCGATTTTACCGTCTCTTATCTAGCCCCAGCCAATACCTGCTGCACGAGAGGTACCTTTTTTGCACAACTACGCTACCCACAAGCTCGAAGTATTAATAAAGATTATTGATTTAGTGGTTTGGCATGACGCTCAGAAAGTTACTAAATTGAACTATATGTTTATTTTCACTAATTACAAAGTTATTGAATAAATTTTACTTATCGTCTGAGCGATCGTTACCATTAATTAGCGCCTATACTAAGTCCCCCTGGCCGAATAATTGACCTGCATAAACAGTATAAGTGTAGCATTTAAGGTTTATTTTAAACAAAACTGTGAAGCTTAAGAAAAAGACACCTTGTATAAAAGAAAGCTTAGTTACCATCGAGACTACTGTGGCAACGAGCGGCATTTCAGCAGTTGTTCTACTTTCGTCTTTATTCCCCGCTTAGTCGGCAAGCGAGTGCCGAGTGAACACCGATAAAATTAAATAAAAAATCGATTATCATCATTTATCCCACGAAAATATTATCAAATGCCCCCAAAAATGATCGCTCAACCTACCGACCCGGCGGATTCAGCAGTGCTTGATCTTGCCATTTTGTCGCAGAATGCGCCCACACCCGGCGCAATAAGCATAGACTAAGCCGTAGATGTCAAGTGGGGAGTCACGACAACAACTGAACGGCCGTTAAAGCCTCGAAAAGGGTTGAGCTTTCCTCTGCTAGATGACGCGGCAGGCCCTGGAAGCCACATGCTCGCCTTGACTCTTTCCATATCGTCCACGAATGTAGCTCGAATGAACGTCTGAAGCTACATTAAGACCCATCACAAATTGACGGCAAAGCTTTCCTCACTGGATCTCCCCAGCCAAGTATGTTTATTCAGGCGCTCAGGTCCTTACTAATGCAAACATTAGCTATGCCGTGGGACTCGTGTGAGCGAAGAGCGCAAACGTTTCATCACTGCACTAAAGACGGGGTCACACTGCTTACATACATCATACAAAAGACAGTCTGTATATAGATCCGACCGCGAGTCACTGCGAGATGCGTGCTTCGAATGCCGCATGGCAATGAGTTCAAGGAGAAACACGCGGCATTCAAACCACAAATATTGCTGTGGCTCGTGTTTGCAGGTTGTCTTTTTGTATGATATATGAATAGTGTGACTCGGGCTGTAGATTCAAAATGTTCGAAACGTAATTTTGCCTATCCTATCAAAATTTATCGCGCGCAATGTGGTAGCCCCCCACCGAGAAGCCGAAACGGCATACAATAAATTTTCGGTCAATGGCGCGCACAAACCCTGCGCGTCTACGCAGACGGGATCTGCATGATAGATTGATCGGAGAGGCCAGCGAAACGAGTGGCAATATGAACCGATTTGCTACGACGTCCTAAGCTTTATTCGTCTCCTGACCTTTTGGGCAGGCCCTATCCTCGACACCTTAATAAAACATTTTGCAGCTGGGTTTGAAATGTTGCCGAAAGCAACAGACGTTAAGAAAACAGAATGAACGCAAGATATTTATCTATATCGGTTCTACCTTTGTTTGGAATAACGAACTGTGAAGCCAAGCGTATGACAGAGCGATGAAACCTCTTTGAATACGGTGTCCTTTACAGAGTTTGTCATCTCAATTGTATTCATTTGTGTGTGGAATTTAACATACACGTGAACTCATACCATGGTGAATTTACAACGAACCATTTATTCAAGCTGCGAGGCATTGTTGCCATAAGGTATCACACGAGCACGTTATTTCTTAATGTAATTTCTGCATGTTTCTTTTTGGACATTGAGGAGATTCTAACGAGCTGTGGTAGCTTTGTTAGGTTATTGTAGCAACATGTTTACACGAAACATTACTTCCGAATGTGTTACTAAAAATAATCCCAATTTGTGCGTTTTAAATTTGTTATGCATGCCAAAAGCAATGCCATGTTATTCGAGCATTTTCAAATGACAAAAATAACAGTTCTGAAGATATTTGCAGCTTTTAGGCCAAGATTACAAGGGTCGTGATCGGCGGGAAAGAGTGCTTTCTGCAATCCTCAAAAAGCATCAGCGTATTTTTTTCTTTTCTGTAATAGAATCGCGTTATTCTACTACTTCGTTACACCGAAAAAAAAGACCATGATGTTTTTTGTTTAACAATTGTCCTAAGCGTATTTAGGATGCACACTTTTTCAAAAGTCATAACTTTCAAAGTCATAAAATTAAAAAAAAAAGACAACACAACAACGCATGTTTAAAGGTCAAACTAAAATCTAAAGCCATAGAAGATCCGTTGTCACGAATTGACCTCTAATCTAGTCTCAATAATTACTTACGTAATTGTGGTATATGCTTTCTCAACATGATTGACATAAACCCACATATCACCTAGAAATTGTAAAAAAATCTCTTCTGCAATTGTCTCCAAGACTTTTGCTGGCACATCGGTTTACCGATTTACCAGCCGATTTACCGACTTTTTATGTAACTTCCAAAACCGTGTCGACAATTATATACAGTTTTTTTGTTTTTGTAATCTCTACGAAACACCCCGAATCCCTTGAATAGCATTCCACAAAAGTGCCAAATAACTTGTTTGTTTTGCACAGAAACAAAGCAAATAAGCACGCTAACCGAATATGAAGGCACATTAGTAGCAACCGATCAAGAACGACGAAAGTGAGTGGTTCAGACACGTGTTTACGCCGGTGTCTTTCCTCTGTCCTTCCTGCAGAGGCAAAGACCCCGTAACCAATGGAACTTTGGCTTCCCATCGCGCAACCGCAGCGGACTCTACGAGCCAACCGGGGCTAAACTATAGAACAGACCGTGTCACGTGATCCTACAGTGGCGCAGAGGGACACGCAGAGCGTGAAGTCACGTCGCACGCGTGGGCTTTTGCATTGGCTAAGATGACTCGTTGCATCCGTTGCGGTCCATCCTAATGGCTGGTTTTCACGTTTGCACTTGACTGTGATCAACTCCGTTACAACCACTTGCGAGAGCTTGAGACGAGAGAACACACACAGGAGCCATCTATCGGTTTTCCGTGGAACACTTCCCAACGGCGTATATTTTGTGAATTATTCTTTCCTTTGTACTTCACATATTTCTGCCAACTTTACAAGCAAGGTTCCTTGTTTCTGAGGTTTAGTTTTCTTCCAATTCAAGCTTCTTTTTTTTTTTTTCGAGGTTAATTGTTTTCTACCGATTCGGTGTTTCTCGGTATCAAATTTTAATGTTGGAAAAAACAAAACAAAGCTAAAATTCCCAAAGTTTACTTTGAAAAAAAAATGATTCCTCCAAGATCCAGGGAACATACGCGTGACCGGAATACTTGGGAAACGCCCACGTGAGAATAAGGAAAGGAAACGAAAAAAAGTGCGTGGTTTCGAAGAAAGAAACAGCCCTCGCGGACAGTTCGGAGTGAGCTATGTCCGAGTGAACACGAAATAAGGCTGCAGTTAAAATTTTTCTTCCCGTAAAACTTTTTTAGTTTTTTCTAAGAACAGCTCTGTTTTGGGTTTTAACGATTTACCCCGACACAATTTTTTCTTTTCGGAGTTTATCGGTTTTTATTTAAAACACGGAAGCGTAGTTACAAAAAGCGACGTTTTCTCATACATAAAGAGAATGGATCTCATCTTGCGAAAACAGCGAGACCTTCAGTTTCGATATAGGAAGACCGGAAATGTTCAAGGACCCCTGATGGAAGGCAACGGTGTGTTAACGTGTTCTGTCGTCGGAAACAGTGACAAATCCAAAACAAAAAATCGCATAAAAAAAAAAGAAAAACCTTTTGGTAAGGTATATATTGTTTTGCGATTTGCCCCGGACGTACCCGGGTTGTTCCTGAACTGGTAGAAGGCCTCGAAGCCTGTGCCGTCGAACTTGTCGTTCGACTTGAAGGCAACTCGGAAGAAGTCTGCGTCAGACTCTATCTTGGTCGGGCGCAGGTTGCCGCAGTGCCGCGGGATTTTCCGGTCCACCGTGCGGAAGTTGGAGAACTCCACGTAGTCGCTGGCCGTGTCCGACAGACACCTGCGAAATCCAAGCCAAGACAACATTCAAGTCGGCGGCAGATTTAGGTATGCAGACGTGAAGAGAGAACCATCTGCGTGCACTGACTACGCGCCATGTTGGAAGCATGTTTACTTTATGCACACTATTCGAACATGTCTGCTGACAGTTCTTGTATGGCCAATGTGACGTCATACAAGGAAAGCCTCCGACACTGTCTACTGCAGAATCTATTTTGTTTGATGCATTACCTGTGAGACGGCGGCTTAAATAAGCGGGAAAAGCTCTGACCTCTCCAATGTCTCACACGGGGTATTTCAGGTGTACTACGATACTAGACGAACTTATTCGCGACTCCAGCGAAACGGACGCCGCCAAGCGGGAAAACCGGGAACCAGTCGGTCCAGGTCGCTCCGCGCCCCGCCGCGTCTCTGGTGGCTTTCGCGGACACGTGCTGTCGGCGTGGGGGCGAGCAATGTAATTTGACGAAGGCTCGAAAATTTCTTAAGTTTGCCTGAGTGTTCATTAGTGTGGTGAAGCCTCAGTAGATTGTTTCTTTCCATCACGTGTTTGAAAGCCCGTTTACTCCACAACACACGGTCGCGTGCTTTCAATTTTTTGGATGGGGAGGAATCACGGAAAAAGCTTTTTGATTTCTTGTCTGTATCGAATCACATTCAAAGTGACGACTACTTGGTAACCGATAAGTGGTTTCTTTATAAGGATGTAGAACAGTGGACTGAGGTCGACAGACGAGGTGTTTCACTGGAGGGAACACCAATGTTGCAATCAAGAGAATGGGAAGGTTCGATAGCTGCTTTTCTTGAGTTTCGTTGTGCTCGATTAGCTTCAAGTTTGAGCCACTAACGCCGGCCGGTGCGCTGGCTATTCATCTTGGCTGCTTTTCGCCAAACAAGACCACACTGAAGGAGTTGGGCTGATTTCGCTATTACTTGATTCAGAAAACCTGCTCGCTGCATATGATTAATGAGGGAAATTTTTTGCTTTCAAAAGGTGGGGGACGCGTCTCGCAAAGTTAGAAGGTGTCACGGCATTAGGATCTATCGCGCCTCCAATATTTATATTATAACCCCTGTCAAAGCCAGCAGCAATATACGTCTACATTGCTCAGGTTGACCGGCCACAAAAAATACTCATTTTATCCGTTCAGGATTCGAAGTCAAGTTCATTGCAGAGAGGTCTGAGTGAATCTCCGATGAAGACTCTCCTCAGTTTGTCCGCATTCCTCTCCGTTCTACCGGCTAGAACCATTTGGCTAAGTTTAAGTAGTATCTCTATGTCTGTCGAATATACTTTTATTCAGCAGTTCACCTAATACTTAGTCAACTAAGTTCATATTTCAACCCGAAGAATATACTAATATCGCTTTAGTGGGACATAGTACGTAATATAATACATAATCCGCATATTCGTCAAAATGACTTCTCGATTGCTACTAAAACCTGAATTTAAATACGGGTATCAGGTGCTGAGTGAAGCGCCAGCGGGTTAACATGCTCTTTGGCTCAAGAAGCGCTTGCTTAATTTTCGTAATTTGCCTGCAGCCTGTGTTCTTGACCGAGCACGCGACTGGAGCTGTTCATTGAAACGCGGACACGCACAAAAGCTCAATTTCGCGGACAGATAAGTCGCATGGTCGAGGCATGCGAGGTAGCTAAAAATTACTCTTGGTGGAACAATTTTGTAGCCATCGCCGCTTTCTTTAGATGATCAAAACCAATCAGACTCTATTACCGTTTCTCCGGAGCCCATAGTTTCGGTTTTGAACGAAGTCTCCGAAACGCAAGTTTGACATGAAAAGAACAAAAAACACCGGCAAAACAAAACTATGCTCGGCAAGTTTATGCGCACCAGCTACACTTAACCGTCTCAGTTCAAATACTCATAAAATTGGGCATTAAACAAAACAAAATCTGTGAAATTGAATGCTCCACCCATTCAGGCGGCCCGGCCGAGCCGACGCGACCTGGACCCAGCGGCCATGTTTGTTTGGTGGTGGCGCCCCCTATAGGTCGCTGGAGTCGCGAATACGGGACGCGCGAACTGTGCTTTCCCGTGGCAGCGTTTCCCTGGAAGACGAGCAAAGGTTCCTCGACGTAGCACTTCGGGACGGTTTGTTGAGTGCTACAGCGGGGAGTTCTAGGAAATCGTTTTGTACATCCGATACGGTACGATGAGCCGTCCGGTACGAACTGCGCATGCGCGAGTCTTCTGTGGTATAGCGCATGCGCAGTTCGTACCAGAGGAACCATCGGACCGTATCGGATGTTGCAAAACGATTCCCTAAAACCCTATAATACACGAGACCGTTGCTCGGCTGCCAAATCGAGCGGGGATCCGACGAGAAAAGACAAAGACAGTTCGAGTGGTCCGCATGCGGAGAGCGAGTCGTCTGCTTCTTTTGCAGGGGTTGTGTGGTGACGTCAGAGGGACGCCGAGCCCTGATTGAAGGACAGTGGGTAGTCATCAAAGCAAGCTGCCTCGAGGTCTACACACTATCCTTCATTCAGAACCAATCAGAGCTAGGTGTTTTCGTGTCACCACAACGCCTGCAAAAGAAGCAGACGATCTTGAGCCCCGCATAAGTTTGGGGAGCACTGTACATAGTACGTTTTATGAATGGCACCGAGCGTCAATAATACGGTTCATTTTAGAAGATGAAGCTGTAGTAGTTAGAACTTTTTTGACATTATGCTAACTCTCAAGTGCACTGTTGTACCTCTGCAAATGAGTCTTAGTATTGAAACATAATTTACTAGCTTGAAACAATTTCAAAACTTGCGATTCTTACTCCTTTGCAGCCCTACTCGATCGTTACCACGAGGGATTCGGCGAAACCTCATTTACTCATGGGGAGAGGTCTTGCACCCGTTCTTTCACATGCGTGGTCTCACTATTACATTTCGGGAATAGTAGAATATAATACAATTATTACTTCTTTCTTTTTTTTTTACTTTATGGCTTGGGGTGAAGCTTTAACATCATAGTGTCCATTAAATAGATGCAGACATCAAATTTCCTATTGCATTTTTTATTGTACACAACCGCTCTGATATCACAAATCGTGTTACACATCGTAGAATACGCGTAGAAGCTGCAAATGCTATCTTATTACTTCGTTTCTAATTTTCTAATTATGTCTTTCGGGTTAGACTACTCGGATCAGGATTCTCGGGATGACGTCACAGACCACCGGCTGTCACGCCGGTGCCAGGAGGAGGGTGGCGTGATCGTAGGGAGACGGAGAGTGCGACGGAGTGGCTGCTTCGTCGTTTACTCTCACTCCAGCACATAAGGCGCACGTGCACCGCGTCACAGTCACCTATAACCGTCGCCATAACGCGCGGGAAATGAAGTTTGTAGAGAGCCTAGATTGAAGAAAGGGCCCATCTCCAGCTCCAAAGAGCCTTTTGCAATTTAATGGCGGACGTCTTCTGCGGAGATTGGTCGCAAGTGGCGCTGCTGCGTTGTCGTTTGGCGAGGAGGAAGGCAAGCGCAAAGGTGTAAACGTAGGCAGACGATTGATGTTGTTGCCACCTCCTCGCAGCTCGTATTGTAAACGCGGCCCACAAACCACGGGAACCCTATCGAGCAGTTGGAAACACTCTGCCATCTAGGCTCTCTAGAACTCTGGTTCGGTGGGTAGCGCCATCTTATGCGGAAATCTTGCAGCCCTGAGACAGCCCGCGGTCGTAATATTTGCACCCGATATCGAGCCCGAACGTCCACGTGCCCTGCCAAACTGCGACGCGCGGCGCTCGTGCCAAACCGGTGGGTGGCTTATGCTATGATGTCATCCTTATAACCCTGCTCCGGACAATTTAAACCGAATCAACGAAGTACAGCCCCCCCCCCTTCCCCTCAAAAAAAGAGAAAAGGAGAAGAAACAAAATAAACAACAACAACAAAAACTTTACAGGGGTATTTTTTACCGCAAAAATAAGCTACTCATCGCCCAACGCTCATTCTCCACCAAAATGCAGCGCTAGCGGTCCGGGTACCTCATTGAAAAAATACTTTTCCACTCAACGTGTGTACCGAATTTATATATGTAATTTTTGGAGTTTCTTTTTTTGTTTATTTTTTGCTACGCTACCACATACTGTATTTGCTTTATCGTAAACCTTGATCGAAGTATCTTTCCCACCTTGGCTGCCCCACGGCGGCCAATATTATCAATAAATAATAATAATAAAAAACAGGATGTGAAGTTTTAGAATTAGCCGTTATCCTTATTAAAAAAGTTACAAGAGATTTTCTGATATTTTCAAAGAAAAAATGGCGGCCGACAGGGCCCTCGAATACATGGAGCTGAATGGAGCCAGTATGTTGATCAGCCACAGAGGATGCTGTTCTCTAGCCGATGTTTCTCCTCTATGTGCACGGTTGTCATTCACTCGCGTACTCATCAAGTCTGGCTGCCTGATCAACTTTTAGATCAGCTTTTAGGGATATGCGATGCTGGACTATGTGTCAAGTCCACCGAATCTCGTCAAGGCATATTACGAACGTATTGCACAATGCGTCATGAGCCGCGCCTCCCGCCGAACTAAAGCACGCCAGTTGCCATGCCTACAATACATGAGTCCCCCTTGTTCCTAAAATCTTTCGGTACCCATTATGTAGCACATCCCAAATTATTTTAAAGTAAACTTCAATTCCATCAGCAAATTCGCTTTTTGAAAGTCATAAAGATCACAGCATAATGTGATTTTGAGCGAAGTCATCAGAATAAAGCTCCCCTTTTGACTTTTTTATTCTTACATTACCAGCTTGCAACCTACTAGCCGACAGTATCTTCGAATGTAATTCAATTACTTTTTCGACGTATTTTTACTCTACCCAAGATAGCTCGTAGTAAAAGTAACTTAAATACTAATCTAAATACATTTTTCAATGGGTATTTAGTATCTTATCCTGAATAATTTTGTTGAGTATTTGGCGCAACACTGGATTCAAGATGGCGGTTATTTCGACTGGCTCAGCATGGACGACGTGTTGTTCGCGAAGTTCAGTATTACTTGAAATTATGTGGTGTTCAGCTCGGTAATTCTTCCCGAACCCACCACAGTCAAGTCAGACCACCGTGCAGCTAAAGAAGGGCACAGTGCAGATGTTCACAGCTCGCAATGTGTGTAAACGTTGCGACCTGCTCGACATTCCTTCGCACCGCTCATCGCCGACGGACGAAGGACTCTCCACAAAATCGCTGTCGCTGTGCAGTCCTGCACTTCTTCCCGCGATAGCATTGATGAAAGGTGCCGTTTCAACGGTACGATTGACTAAAGCTCCGTGATCGAATTTAGCTGCGAACTCGTCTCGTAGCCTCCGGGCCTCCGGACACCGCAGAAAGCGCGCTTGACCAGGCAGCTGCGGCTTGGCTTAATTTGAAATAGATGGAATTGAAAACGTTCGTTTTAATTTTCAATATTTATTTTGAGGAGCATGGTGGCGCTGTAATTACGCGAAATTCTACGGCTCTGGCAAATTGAATCAAAATCGTGCGAGATGTTCATTCGGCAACGTTAACGGAAAGCAGAACTATAATAAGATAGGTCTGAGCAGCTAGTTTTTAGAGTACGCTACACTATTATACTATTGCGTATTGCGTACGTAAGATCCAGCAGCGCTATACTAAAACTGTAGATTAACAAGTTTTAAAATAGCGTACTCAAAAGCTTTGCATACGCAAAGAAATAGCGGCGTCGCCGTACGCCAACCCAGAGTGCGAAGTGGCGACGACGACTCCATTTTTCTGCGTACGAAAAGCTTTTGAGTACACTGTTCTAAAACTAGCTATTATTGAAAGTTTCTTAACATATTCAACGTGTTGCTTTTCATGATTAGTGATGCCATTGGCGCAACTAAAAAGTTATAAATAGAGAAAAAAAGAACGAAATTACGGCGCAAAGTAGTGACGTCTTTTCTCATTCCACCAATGCAATATGCGCTCTCTGCTTCAATCACGGTGTAAGGTTTTGGGTCAGAAACTCGCGTTTCATCTCAGAGCCTGACTAAGTACATAAAAAAAAAACACAGGGTCTTTTTTGTTATTCCTAAGACTACTTCAAGGCGAAAGCCCCAGCGCCGAGGCATTAAAGACTGACACATGATTTACGGATGTGGCGGTACCGCTCCGCCCGTGTCGGAGGGGAACCCCGGGACTACTGAACGAAAGGTCACCCGGTGGTTTGACGCTACACGAGGGACAAGAGCGAAAAGTCTTTTCAGAGAAATATAGCGCCTTCGCCGATTCTGGCACAAGAAACGCCATCTCGTGGTCCAGTGGCGAACCGTGGGTTTTGGTACCTTTCGTGTCGCCGTCAAGTTTCGGTAGCTTTCGTGTCGTCGACGTGTTTTCACTCAAGGTCTTTGAAGGTCGACTGAATGACGAGACATATAATGCTTTCGTCTTAATAATTTTAGGGCAAATCTACGAGCTTGCACAAGTGCGGAAAAATGTTCAGACTAGGCTACCTTCATGTTCGCTTTATAGGCTGATGACATCGGGTCATATTGTTCCCGATGTTTTTGTTTCTTCTTGGAATATTGAAATGGTGTATAAACCATTCAAATATTTTACCAAGTCCTCAGCCCAGTGTGCGATCTCCTCAGCAAAGAATCGTAAATATTAACTCTTCTTGGCAGTGAAGCCGAATGAGCTGCTTTAAATAAAGTATGTTCCTTTCTTCCTTCCGAAGCTATAGGTACCCGCGCGCTCGCGCACGTTGAAGCGCCGATCACAGTTGCACTCGCGCGGTCTTCACTTCTTCGGAAATGCCAGAAAAAAGTGGCCCCGAATATACAAAAAATGCCATCACCCTAAGCAATAAACACATGAAGGCACCCTAGTTCAGACCGTTCAAAACCAAAACGCGAGTTTTGCAATTCATGAAACCAAACATATACTGAAAACGACTCCAGCGACCCATAGGGGACACCACTATCGGGCAAATATGGCGGTCGAGTCCAGGTCGCGCCGTGCCATGTGCCAGCTCAACGCACAACGCTGGGACATCAGGGAGTAAGCATTGGACTCAAAATTGGTTTTCCTCGTTTTTGTACCCTCCACGTTTCGAACCTGCGGCGATGTGTTGGCGTCAGCGAGCTTCCAGGGGCTTGACTTTCTTCCAGGAAGCGATGAAAAAGCTGCCTACTGTTGTCCTTCCACGTTTCTGATCAACGTTGATAAACGCGGGATGTCTGGATCACGCGATTGCGTACGTTGCGTGCAGAGCAAACTGGGTAACAAGATGATACTACAGTTACGATAGAGTCACCGGGACAACTGTTTCATCGCGCCAACCGCTCACAACATGTAAACACGGAAGCCAGAAGAGACGAGCGGAAACCGCGAAATGACCTGTTCCGGCTAGTTCAGTGTTTTATCGCTAGATGCCGTCTGTTTTGCTGGAGTTTCATTTTGCTTTACGTCAGCGTACCTACAAAAGGCTACCGTAAGTCACATGAAGGAAGGTCGTGTTTATTCGATTCTGGTTGATGTAGTTTAACAAAAAAGCGGTGGCTTGTAAATAAAATCTTCAACGTACGAGTATAATCGATATACACAAAACATGGTTCCGCGGCATTCCTTCAAGAGCATGACAAACTTTGCAGTTTTTTTTGTACGGATAAAGATTGAGGGAGAGGGAGGAGATGAAAGCGCGCTGGGACGTCATGGCACCAAGTTTTTGCTAAAATGCTTTGTAAATTGACTCAAAGCTAGCTGCCTTTTTTTTCGCATTTACTCTTGGAACGCTTTGGAATGTCGAACGCCGGGGTCCGACGTTCGCGTTTTCCACTGCCTCTTTGGCGCCGGCATCACTCGAACACTGCCATTTTGGCGCAGTGGTACTTTCACGTCGGGGAGCGTTTAGAATGTTGTTCCTTCTTCCATTACTCTTCCTTCTCAGTTACGTGTTCCTTCGTACATATTGTCCTTTGAAATACGTGGTACACATTTCGTAACGGTTTCCGTGGCGTTCCACCCCTTAAACAAATTGTGTGTTAAGACTTTTTTTTTTTTTTTTGAACGTGAGCAATATTTGTACGCATAACGTGCACATGGTTGGCTGTGATGCCGGGTAATGGCAGCTTACGGTGGCACGCCTTCGACATCGAAGTAGGCGAACTCGATGTAGATCTTCTCGTTGCTCTTCCCGTAGAACAGGTAGTGGCACTCGGTGTCTCGCGGGTACACGCCCGGGTAGTTGGGCGTCGAGAAGGTCCCGTTCGACACCTCAGAGCTGTTGTAGATGAAGGTGCACACTGAAAAAAAGAAAAAAAGAGAAGACAAAAAGGAATGTCATACAGTGATCTTGTCGACCTTCAAGATAAGTAGCAGCAAAGAAACGACGGGTGCGATTCCGAGCCTTCTAAAGAAAAGATCGCCGGTCTTCTTAGCGTCTTCTACATTTGTCTAGTTTCTACACATTCTGTCTTGTTGCGTTTTTTGTTTTTTGCGCTTTTCTTTTCTTGCACGTTCGCGTGCGGTGATGGCGGTGATATTACAAGCGTTTACATAATGGGATTATCACGCCGAGGCATTTAATATCTAAATAATATTAGCACAAAAAAAGAAACTAGTACTTTTTTTATGGAGTAATTAGTATCTGGCTCTACAAATATTACAACTATTCAACGAACAAAGGTAGCAGATATCTTGAGAAAGACAACGAGCAATGCAATAGAAATTAATATGACCCTAGGACGTATCGAAACCTCTTGCAGTCAGAATAGGGTAGTCGTTGACGCATGATTCTTCTATGCGGACTACTAATTGTTTGGGTTCACTTAGATTGTTCTTACCATAATGTCGTTACTATATTGATCTTGAGTCACACTATCGGAATGCTTGGGGAGGTTTATGTTCATTCTCCGCTTCTTCCGTGCCGTGGCACGATCCCGCCATGCTTGCCCAGCAGGCGACACGCACGGAATTCCTCACAGTTTATACCCTACGCCGAGAAAGGTAGAAGCTCAAGCTCTTACCTAAGACTTTTTTTATATTTATTTTAATATACCAGGGCCCGTGCAACATAAGCTACTGGCGAAGTTTTGACTTCATCCCTATAGTTTGATGCAGTGAACACCAAAGTAGGACGAAAGAAATGGCTTCATTCATTACCGCAGTGCACGTTTAGATTTAATCTGAGAATAAATACCCTTGACACGTCAAAATGTAAACATAAAACCGAGGTCACAGAACCACAAGATAAAGTCCTGATGTGCTTGGCTAGGGCACCTGATTTTGCATCTAGTCATTGGTTTACTTGATAGACATATATATAATGACTTAGGCTGATATATAATGAAACTTTTTTTACTCGACCAGTTTTGTGTCACTCGCCTTCTGCATATATGCAACATAAACATGTGAAGACTCCCCCCTCTTCCCTTTTCTTTTTGCGTTTCGGTCAGGGACTTTCGAGAAGTTATGTGTGCGCGGTGTTAAATATATGGTAACATGAAACCAATAATTAAACCGTTTGTACAGCATGAAGAGTTCTAAAAATGATACACGCGATGAAGAGTTCACCGCCCGCGTTAAAAGCTTTTTCTCAAACTGGTGCTTAAAGCTGAACAGCTACCACGGATAAGCTGAAAAAAAAATTACACGTGCGCAGAAAAGAAAAAAAGAAAGAAAGGCAGCGCTTTTGTTCGACGCATGTTTATGTGATACTTGCTGCATGGAGAAGGAACTACGCTCTGCCTCTGCTGTTTGTGTCTACGTAAACACAACCCCTATTAAAAGCGAGGCAACGTATAGCTATACTTTTCATACATTCCGTCGAGAAACGAACCGGGGCCTTAAGGACCGCAACAGCGGGCGCTCTCCCGAAAACAACGAAGCAATAATCCCACGCTCCGAACGTGAGGCGACAAACCCAACGAGAATGACATTGCATCGTAAACATTTTGATATTCCTTTCTTTCACGATCCAACTGTTGAGACATTCAAACTACCGCCTCCTCCCCGGCGGGAAACGCTCTTCCCCATCTCTCGCGCACTTACACTGTCTTCTTTTTTTTCTTCTTTACAGAAGCAGAGCGCGATTTGCGCATTCTCTAAGCACGAAACGAACTCTGCGCTTCGTTTATTCCTTTTTTTTTTCTTTCCTTCTTCCCTCGACGAGAGCCTTGTTCGCGAGCGCAGCCCGCGCAAACAGCCCCCCGCGGCGCGCCTCGTCCGAGGCGAAAACCATCCGGCGTATCGAACGAAGCCGGAAACAAGCAACCGACAGGAAAGTCTACTCCCAACTTTTATTCCTTCCAACAAGCAACCGCTGGCCGAGCTGTGTTGTAGAGCGAAGGCGGCTTACTATGGGAGAATCGCTAGTTGTGCTTCCTCCCACTCGCCACACACACACAAACGCACGCACGCACACACACGTTTCCAAGAGGAAACGCGGCGAGGCATTAAAAGAGGGCCCCGGACCGAGAAACCCTCACTGCGGGTTTTATTGAGCTTGGGGGCATGAAGCGAGCAAGCGGTGCTCTTAGAACGGATTCATCCGCACGCCTTCGAGGCTGTTTGGCTGTTTCTGCGCTGCAACGCTCTCCCTAGAGCACAAATGCTCTGCCTTCCCTGTCTTCTTACGCGTTTCTTCAAAAAATCGACGAGGCCATAGGGGAAAGGGAGCGGGAGGGACGACAGTCCTACCATGGAGGCTATGGCATACATAAGGAAGAAAGTAGAGCGAGCGACAAGGCACTCGTCGACTCACCGCCTTGAATGAAAGGATGGGACCCGATTCTGGGAATCTAGAAAAGTGCGTGCCTTTCGGAGTTCAATTGGTCGCCGCATTTTCTTCTGGCTGGACTCCGGGGAGTTTTAAAACATAAAGCTTGCTAGAATTCCCCCTCCCCTTTTTCTTCTCTTTTTTTTTTTTTTGTTCTTGTCTTGAGAAACTTGGCGGGTTTAAAAACGGCACACATCAAGATATCGATACGCCTCGGAGGAACGCTCCGAGGCGATAGGTATTTGAAGATAGGTATTTGATGTATATCCATACAGCGAACGTGGAGGACTAATTAACGATTCTTTGTCGAGTCGATGTCTTGGAAGATTTTCTGTTACACTACAGAGTACCGTTTATTAAGAAACTGTATCAAGGTGACGATTGAGTTTGACTGCCTGGAAAGAAGAAGTTGATCGATCGAAAGGCCTTAATGGATCCTCCTTTTAACGTAACCAGAGCGAGTAATGAAACGCCCACTTCTCGAAAAGTGTAACACAGCCTAAAGAGCAAAAGAGAGTTCAGAGAACGAACCCACCGTGCAAATTATTCTATTCAATCTCATTCCCTGGAGCTGTTTTAGGTTCCGCGTGAACCTGCCATTAAAATACTATATACACAAGACGACTTATGTAAATAAAATGAAACTTAATAATCGTTTCTCGAGTGTAAAAAACAACAACAACAAAAACGCTATGCGAATTTTGCCAAGGAACTCACAAAGGATGTTGATACTGAAGCTTAAAAAAGCACACAAACAAAAAACTGTCCGATTTAGCTGGCTGTGCTTCCCCTTTTGCTAGATGAATCGGGAAGAAAAAAAATACACTACGAGAAAGATTGCTATCGTTAAAGAGACCAAGAGTAAACAAAAAGAGATGAGACGACAAGTTCGGAAGCAGAACAAACTGAAGTAATATTCGCAGCGCCGCATCGTTGAACGGATTCGAAGGCTTCCGCAGAACGTCTCTGGTTGCGATCTCTCTAGAGCACGCGAGAACGCACTCAACGCAATGCCCAAGACTGACGCTTGCCTACCCAACGTCTATATTTTCCTCATAGAAGCACATCAATTATACGATACGGTAGGTGAAACAAAGAAACGCGAAAGGAACCATCATTCGTAAAACCCAGATACCCCTCCACCATTTTCCCCCATAAAGAGAACGACGACTCGTCGAAAGACACAAAGACTGCTGAACAGAGCACCACCCGCTCGAGACTGCACTGGACGCCGTTCCAGGGGATCAGTCGGCGTCAACTAACACAAAAGTGCAAGAAAAAAAGAAAAAAGAAAGAAGTGTGCACTCAAAATGGGGGGGCGCACTACCGATTCAGCGGTTGAGCAGTCTGAGATAGCCTCCGATGCTCCTCCGTGGGAGTCTAAGATAACGGCTTCGGCTTTCAAGAGCGCCACACATCTTCTACGTCCGGAACTCGCGTGGCCGGCGTTCTGGCCGCTAAATCTTCCCCGGAGAATCCACCGGGCGCCGCCAACGCAACACTCAGCGGCAGTAGCGAGAATAATATTAACGACACAAAGAGCGGAACAACAACAAGGACACCAACAACAAGAACAACCACCAGATCTCGAGTTTCCCATTGGTCCTAAAACTGCTTTTCCCCGTTGTTCGTCGAGGAAATATCGCCGCTGAGGGCCGTTCGCCGCGGACATTCGAGCGCGTCTGGGCCATAATAACGAAGACGAGCGCCCCGCATCGTCGTCGTCGCTCTCTTGAGGAGCCGAGGAGGGTTCGGGGGGTTGTTTGTTTCCATGGCGGCGAACAGCGACGCCGAGTTTAGGATTCCGCGGATGACGAACCGCCGTTCCTCATGCCAACTGACAGCGTTGCACAGGCCTCTTCCACCCCGAAACATTAGGGGAAAAAAAAAAGAAAAAAAAAAAAAAAGAAAGAGATTGCCTGGTTTCTCTGAACTGGGGAAACGAGGGACGCTACTCCTTTTTCTTCCCTATTGGATGACTCCGTCCTCGGGAAGCGTTGGTGCTCGGATCGGTTGTTTTCCTTTGTTTTAGTTTTTATTAGCAGCGATAAAGCTACGGTGGGTTTAGACGCCACTGCGTCGTTGGATGTGGCTGGAATCGTGGTGGGGATGGTCTTCCGGAATTCGCTGAGGCGCAATTGTTTAAAGTGCCGAAGCTATTTCTCGTTTTTTTTTTATTCGTCATTCTTTAACGAAAGTAATTTAGCAGTTCTTTTATTATGCCTAAAGAGTCACCGAAGATCGCAATACGCTGCACATTTATTTACAAGGAAAAATACACTTTTACAACAGGAGAGCTCTTTTAAGCATAACACTGTTCAGGAAGTCTGAAATCAAGCCCGAGTGTGTCGAGGTGCGACGTATTTCTTAGTATCACTTGACCTTTATAATATTTTCTCAGAATCAGGTTATGCTTCCTTCATAGTTAACGCGCATCACCGAATACACATACGCATTGCGAAGATGCCGTCAATTCTCTCAGAAGAGCACAAGTTTTACAAAAGCATCAAATTATGTTAATTTGTGATAAGTTATCACGGACTCACCTCCCTGAGGATCCTGGCGACCTGAAGGAATGCCAAAATCTGCAAGAAAAAAGAAAGAATAGTTAGTAATATTCATGTCAATCGACCTGTCGACTTCAGCTATACTAGCTCCACAAATACCTCCCATTTTTCAGACGTGTTATGTAGACAAGAAGGCACCCGTCGCGATGTCGCATTCTTAAATTCTGCCCGAGTCGAAATGATCTCGCACCCAATCCGGAAATCACCTCGCATCGCCACGGATTATGTTGATAACAAATAGCTGTTAGCTTCTGATGTAACTGGGAAGCGGATACCCCCCCCCCCCCCTCCCCCCCCAATTACTGCGCCACTGTATGTATGTGATAGAGTGCTGCACTAACGGGGGAGTATTGGCTTCCCAGTTACATGGGTGGGGTGAGGGGTGCCAGGTATGGCGGCAACCTCTTCTCCCCCGTCATGGTTCGTCAGTTGCAGACGCCCATGACGTCACAGCACTCCTATCATGGACGCGTTTAGTGCTCGGGGAGCCAAGGGGCGACCAAAGTCTTCAGGGCTCCTGGTGCCTGATAGACAAACTACGCCACTGATCACATATCAATGCTATTTCATGTTCTATTTATACCTAATTGTATAAAATTTATTACGTTGGTTTGATTCCCCTTAATTGCCATCCAGCTTAGCAGCTTGAACTTGGGTCTGTCGTGATAATAGTCTTTATAAAGAACCAGCCACGCGTATGGGAGGTGAAAAGTGAATAGTTTTAAAAATGAGAACATCGCGTGTCTCACCATGTACAGCGGATGATACTGACACTATACATATTTCGCCTTCAAAACAGTAATATTCATTATGCGTATACGCGTAAAGAAGCCATTGCGAATATGTCACCTTATTACGCATAGATGCGATAACGCTTCAAAACAACAGGTACCAACCTAATAGTAATGCTGGTCACTCAAGAAAGACAACTGTTGTTCTCAGCGTACACTTTGCCCCCTATAGTTAAACTACGTGAGAGATTAGACATGGTGGGTGTAACAGTTCCAAAAAACAAAGACGATAAAAGGAACAGACACGACAGGACAACAATACGTCAAACCTTTACCAACACGCCCAATTCAAAACCTTGTTAGAGATATTAGACACTTATAGTTGTAAGTGTTGTCAAGTACATCATACCAGAGCCTATCTATTTTGCACATCACGCGCCAGAAACGCAAAAAAAAAAAAAGACGGCGTTTTGCGGTGTTTTATTGTTTGTGTTTTTGAGGCGTTTTACTTGAAGATAGCAACGAACTGTTCCGATTATATATTTCATTTAGTTTTCTTTTTACGTATTTATCGATCTAGTTTAGATGTTTTCAACTTTGAAACGCTACGCGAAGGAGTTCTGGTTTTGGACCACCCATGAAGAGAGAGCGAAGATCTCTCTTTTGCGTGGTCAAGCGCGTTCATTAGCCACTGCCTTTCCGTCCAAGTTAAACGCAGTTTGGCAGTGTTACAGGTCTACCCAAGAGATGGCGCCAGCGCTACATAGATCCCAACCCAATCGGCGCGGTCAAACTCAAATGTATGAACCGGCCGTACGCTGCGGTCACACTGCTACTACGTCATACAAAAGACAGCCTGCAGTAGACACTGTCTAAGGCCTTCCTTGTATAACGTCACATTAGTCATAGAGAAAGCTGTCGGCATACGTACTCGAAGCATGCATGAAGCAAACGGGCTTCGAGCATGCTCGATGCGTAATTCTGTCATCGTATCTGCGGCGAACAGCGTGTACGATGATGTGTTACGAAGACCGCGACTTTAGGGAGGCGTCCCACTCACTGGTGACGAACTGGTAGATGGCCCGGAAGCCCTTGACACTGGGCGGCCTGTTGCCGAAGCTCTGGAAGATGACCGTCATGCGGTGCTCGTTGGACATGATCTGGTTGGGCAGGTGGGACCCGCAGAAGTTGTCCAGCCGCTCGCGCTGGCCCTTGATTGTGATGAAGCCGATCACGGAGTCCACGTTTTCGCACCTGCGTGTCAAGCGAAGAGGAGATGAGCAGCGCGTTTGGGCGATGCGCTCGACCGAAAGAGTCGCTGAGGTATAGAGGCCCGCCGCGATTGGCCAGACGACGGGCATGACAGCACTGTATACCAGACTGTCGACTTAAACGGCGTTGGTCTAAGAGCCGCGAGGGCTCTTATAGCTTTCGCCTTGATTCCTGTACACACAATTCGACTCGTTGTCGCAACGGATGATAAGTATAGCCAGGATCGCTACCGGTGATTCCACGGCTACGCAAATCATTATCGCGACGTCAGAACGGGAGCGCCACCGAAACATGTTTGGCGCCAAGGGGAAGCGTAGACGCAGTGTCATGAATGCAGCACTTGACGAAATGAAGTACGAGCTCCGAGAGAAATTGCGGAAAGTGTCTCGGCCGTCATCTTAATTGTCACTGACAGAATGAGAAATATAGGGACGCCCTTCAATTGCTTTGCTTCGAGTGCGTGCTTCGATAACAGTTCTGCGTCTCGTAGGCATTGAGCGTGCACGGCAGCGACATAGCCTCCTCAATACTCACAAAGCCTGGCAGTTCGACGGCGGAGCAATAGAGTGCCCGGTCAGAGATTTGGAACGCCAGGATCTGGTAGCACAGAGCATCGAAGAGCCATTTTTTGGGTAACCTGGACGTCAACGCACAACTTTTGTAGCGGCGAAGACCCGAAACACACTTGTTCGGTCGGGACAAGTGTGCTTCGGCGTCTCGCCGCAGCGGGGCGCCAGTCACGTGGCTCTCCTCACATCCGTTGTCTGCCGCTCCACCTTTTCCATTTCGGCGGCCGCTTATCGTGGCGATCTGCCAGGCTTTGTCAGTACATAGGATGCTATGACTGGAGGCAGGGCGTACGAAGGAACGCCCTGCCATCCTCGTTCCTTCAGTGACCACACCTGCTTGCAGTTACACTACGGCTAATATTCCATCTCGTACGGGTAAGAAAAATGTTAATGTTACAGTCGTTGCATACAGATGGACGTTAACTTTCGTCGATGTATGTCTACCCGTTTAGTTCTACGCAGCTTTCTAGAAGGCTTGCAGATTTAGATAAGGCTATCGTTACCAAAATTCCGCCTCGAGCGAATATATATATATATATATATATATATATATATATATATATATATATATATATATATATATATATATATATATATATATATTTTTTTTTTTTTTTTTTTTTCAGGATGCACTCATACTTGCATCATCGCTTTGCCCGTATGTATACTCATTGTGACCTTTAAAAAAAAAATAAAGTTTTGAGCATTATTCACGCACTGCACGAAATAGCTCTTTTAAGATTTGTTTGTCGGACGAAGACACGATGGTTTTTGGCGCTTCAAAAGTGTACGTCTTGGGAAAATAACGGTAAGCTCAGTAACATTCACCCACATACAGAGTAGGGTGTCCCCAAAAAACAATGTGCGCGGTTCTTTTCACCGGAAAAAATAAACAACGCTTTGCTGAATACTCATTCTCCACCTAAAGGTATCGCTGGAGTTCCGGACCAGATGCCAAAGTTTCATTCCGATCCGATATGTTATTCAAAAGCTAGAAGTGTTTTTTTTTTTTTTTTGAAGTTTGATGGGAAAATTGTGGGCGATGGAGCTCTCTAATTCATGGATTTCTATGGCACCAGAAGCCGAAAAGGGGCAAAAATGGGCTGCATTTTCCCGTTGAAAGTGTCAGAAAATAACTTACAACTTTTGAATAAGGTGTCCGTTCGGGTTAAAACTTTTGCATTGGGTTCAGACCTCTAGCGCTACCATTAGACGAAGAATGAGGGTTCGGAAATCCGAAAATTAAGTTTGCAAAAAAAAAAAAAATCTCGAAATATTTTTTTTTGGGGACATCTTTTACATATACATCACAAACAGGAGTAAATAAGTATACGAGACGCTATAAACTTAATTTTTCTTTGCTACATTTGCACGAGTATCTCGAGGTTGCTTCAAGTAGTGAATGAACCATGCTTTTACAAAAAAATTAGCCAAAAAACACATTTACCGTGTTCCTTAAAAGCTGACACCATCAAGCCTGCCGCCCAGGGTGATGGGCCGCCGTGCTCATAACGGTCATAACCAAGCCTTGCAAAGAGCATTTAACCAACTAGAGACACCGGGTCAGCACCTCACGTTCACTAAGATATGTGTCTGCAATATTATAGCATAGTGGTTTTATTTGTGCTAACTTAGTGTTCGGTCTGTACACATTTGAAGATAATTTATTTAAGGAAAGTAACTAATGAAGTTCGTAGTCGCCATGAAATCTTCCCAAAAGTTTCCGGGGATTAATTTTGAACACAAGAGCACGACTTCTGATATTTTGTATTTTTCATTCGAAAATTCCTTGGTGCCCGCGGGTCTACTTAGTGTTGCATCGGCGCAAGCAAACGCTATAAGTTTCATAAAAAAAACAACAAAGTAGCGTAAAAATAAAATTGCAATTCAATTTATGAATTTTCGTCCGCACCGGTGAAAGCGAAGACACTTCGTTATACTCAACTTTAATTCAGAGGTCAACGTGTTAATCCGCTTAAAAACGTCTTTTTAGTGGCACAAAAGCGGGTCGTCTCTGGTCGCTCCCCGTTTTTCTTTGAAATCCCTCGGAGTAAATAGGAACAGTAGAAAAAGGTGACAAAAAATACGTCGCGAACTTCCTTCCATTTTTCGACCTCCCATTATCAGGACCGGCACAGGAACCCTAGGCAAGAGCGAAATCGCTTCTTCGAATGGGTAACCTTCACTTTCCCGGAGATTGTGCTGCGACGTAAAAGAATAATCCTCCGTCCTCCCCGCAAATAATAAAAACAACTTTTCAGGTCGGTTTAGGAAGGGGAGGATTTATAATAAGAACTCATTTGCTTACGTATTCTTTGCTTGTCTTTTTCACAAGATACTTCGAGACGTTACTGGCGCAGAATAATTTTTTTGTTAGTTTTAGTTATTTAACTTGCGTTATTCTCTTCATCAACTCTTTCCAATTTGACGGAGGAAGTTTGAATTGCGTATAGAACTTGAGAGCCTTACAGCGCCTGAACGTGCTGAAATATATTTCTTTTATTTATTCATATTAGTTTTATCCAGCGAAAGGAATAAGCTAGGTAGGATTATTTGATGCCGGCATAGTCTAAAAAGAAAAAAAAAGAACGCGGATAGATAATTTATTTTGACGTCTTCCTAAAATTTCGCACGTGTTGGACTTCATCATGCATAATAGCTAACAACAAGTCAATATCTCTTACCAGCGTTTTTATCCAGAGAAAGGAATAAGCTAGGTAGGATTATTTGATGCCGGCATAGTCTAAAAAGAAAAAAAGAAAGCGGATAGATAATTTATTTTGACGTCTTCCTAAAATTTCACACGTGTTGGACTTCATCATGCATAATAGCTAACAACAAGTCAATATCTCTTACCAGCGGATTTATCCAGAGAAAGGAATAAGCTAGGTAGGATTATTTGATGCCGGCATAGTCTAAAAAGAAAAAAAGAACGCGGATAGATCATTTATTTTGACGTCTTCCTAAAATTTCACACGTGTTGGACTTCATCATGCATAATAGCTAACAACAAGTCAATATCTCTTACCAGCGTATCCTGCAATATCACGGTTCAGGTAATTTCTTCAGAGCTGTCGCGTTTTTTAGAATCGAACTCTTTTTTGAACCCCTCATAAACATGGATTTCGAAAATCATTCTTATGTGACACCAAACTTTCAGTCTTCGCCCATAATATCCATTCAGCGCTGGACCAGGGATCTCGGATTTCCTATACCTCTCAGAAGCATTCGATAACATGTCCCATAAACTGTTTGTGCACAAACGTAGCCAGCTCAGTATTGACTCAAATATTTTATCTTGGTTAGAGCGTTTCTTGACCAACAGATCCTAATTTGGGACCGTAAAGCAAAGGGTCACACTGCTTATACATCATACAAACGACAGTCTGTATACAGATTCGAACGCGAATCACCGCGGGATCCGCGCTTAGAATGCTGCATGGCAATGAGTTCAAGGAGGAAACTTGACACCCGGCACTTGAGCCACGGATATCGCGGTGACTTATGATTGCAGACTGTGTTTTGTATCAAGTATGAGCAGTGGGACCCCGGCTGAAATGGCAATAACTCAACGTCTGTTCCCGTATACACTCCGGTGTGATGTGCCGCAATGCTCTCTACATGGTCGTCTGTTATTTCTAATCTCTATTAGGGACCTACCAACTATATGTCTCCTCTTCCCTAAGCCTATTTGCCGACGATAGTGTTCTTTATCGGGAAATTAACAACAATTCTGGTGTCAACATCATACAGTCTGATATGAATGCTATTTCCTCCTGCTTTGATGTATGGCAGATGAAACGAAAGATTAACATGTAAGGCAAAGAAAATATCACGGAAGGTTAAAACGTGTCCTACTTACCAACTATTAAATATCCCCATTGAAAGGGTAATTTCTTGCAAAATATTTACGTGTCTATGTATGTATCTTCGAACCTGTCAGGGAAAACCCACACCAATTATGTTAACAACGCAAACCGCACGCTTGGCTACCTGAAACCTAACTACGTCACACGTGACCTGTGACGTCACGAGTGACGTAATTATGGGAAAAGTCCCATAATGCAACGCGTGGCTGCGCCGATGACGACGCCGCTCAAGCCGGAAACGGGTGCCTAAGAGCTGCGCTCAAAAACATATATCTAAAAATTCGACTAGTAGTATACGATATATTATGTGCCGACATGTTAAAATTATCTTAGAAAATGTGTTCTCATTTGCAGTTCGTCATGAAAGGAGTGCACCTCAGTACATGTAGCACTTGTTTAATTCACCTTATCTTCGTGACTGCAATATTTCCCAAATAGTCGTAAGAAATAAATAATACTACACTACAATTAAGAGCGCCAGACTCGCATTTATCTGCATGTAATAATAATAAATTGTCAATGTGAGATTGGCTACCTAAAATGC